CAAGGCTTGGAGCAGTCGTTTGAAGTCTGGGTGCGTGATAACCTCTGTTGCAGTTTGTTCAGGAGAAATTTGGCAATTGAGGGTTTTGGTGACTATATAAACTTCAATATTTGTTCCATATGACAGTTCCTGAAACTATCGTTGACAGTTTTATTGGAATTTCATTGACTGTGTAAATTACTTTGGGCAGCATGGCCATTCTGATGTTAATTCTTTTGACCCAAGAGCAAGGAATGCCTTTCCATTTCTTTGAAATCTTCTCTTTCTTTTAACAGTGTTTTAGAGTTTTCCCTTGTATAAGTCTTTTGCCTCCTTGATTAGATTTATTACCAGGTATTTAATTTTTTCTGTTCAATTGTAAATGGAGTGATTTTCTTGAATTCTTCTGTAGGCTAATTATTTGCATGTAAAAGTTTACTGGTGTTTGTGTGTTGGTTTTGTAACCTACTATTTCACTGAACTACTTTATTATTTTAATGAGTTTTTCGTGGGTTACTTAGGGTTCTCTAAGTAATCAGATCATCTGCAAACGATGACAGTTTCTTTTTCTTTCCCAACTTGGGTTTCTTCTGCCTTTCTCTTGCCTAACAGCCCAGCAAGTCCTTCCAGTATTGCAGAGAGCTGCTGCGGAGTGGACACCCTATCTTGCTCTAGATCTTGGCGGGAGGCCTGCTCATTGAGAGAGAAGCCTGCTCCTGCCGCCATGCTAAGATGGTCTGCCCGGGGAGCCCAGCAACACCCCCCAACCAGCCTGGGTCCCAGGAGGGCTGGGTGGGCAGTGACGGAGGCTGTTCCAGAAGGAAGAGGGAGTTGAGGAGCCCAGGCTGTGTGGAGCGAGGCAGGCAGACCCAGCCCCCCACCTCCCAATGCTGGCGGTGAATGCAGGTGGACCTGGTTCCACGGGTTTCCAGGCCGGGCCGTGTCGCTGACTGGCCCGGGGCTGCTTGCTCCTGGCTAAGGTCTGGAGGCGCCTGTGGGTCCTGCCAGGCCAGCACGGCCAGTCCTGCAGCCAGCCTCATGGCCTTTGAAGTAGAAGTTTGACTGGGAGCCAGTGACGTGACAGGCCTGGGGGTGAGGCGGTGAGGGCCTGGGTCTGGAAGGAGTCGGGTCTGCGGGAAAAGCTACTGCCGGTGCTGCCTGCTCCCCTCCATGTGTACCCACACAGTGGGGGTCAGGATGCCTCAGGCGGCCAGGCCGGCCCCTATTCCAGCCTGTGGCCACCTGCCCTGGGCTCACTGGCCCTGCCTCTTCTGAGGACCAGATAGCCCCCCTCCCCCGCTGTGCCCTGGGCTTCTGGGGGACCCCCCTGGGAGCCTTCACCACCCCCATCTCCACCAGTCCATAGTGGTCAGCTGAGGTGACCCAGAGGGCAGGGAGAAGGCGCAGGGAGGCCGGGTGGGGTGGGAGTGGGGAGGGGGTACCCCAGAGGGTCCACAGCTCAGCCTTCCCGGGTGGGGCCCTGAGCAGCGCAGTCCTGGCTAACACTGAGGGTGACGGAGGCGCCCTTGACTGTTGCCCATCAATAGGTTCCTGCCTGTTTATTCATTTATTTTTGCATGTTAACCCGCCTGCGCCGCTCCTGTTGGGCACTTTCAGGGAGAGGCTTGCACAGCGGGGCGCGGGGAGGGTCCCCCAGCCCCGCGCAGTAACTGTCGGGCCGCCCCGCCTGCGTTCTCACCGGCGTCCGCCAGAGGGCGCAGCGGGCTCACAGGTGCTCCCACACCCGGGCCGCGCCTTACGGGGAGCCCCCCAACCGAGGGCGGGGAGGGGGCCGGCCAATGAGATCAGACAGGAAACACAAACCGTCCTTGGCAGGGCCCAGGGCGACAGGGTCTGTCCGCGGTGGTCAGCGGGGTAGACCCGCGGGGAGGCGGGGGAGGCTGCGCTTCTCCGTGTGATTCCCTTGATTGTCTCCTGCGCAGTTAAGCAGGATGGGGGTACTCGTGCAGCCAGGGAGGGAAACCGTGAATGTTCTCGACGTTTGTGGTACCCCTGTGAGCAGACTGGCTGGACACAGTGGTGTTCAAGCAGGAAATGCAGGCCCAGAGACAGTGGGGAGCAGAACAGGCAGATCCACTGAAATCCACTGCAGAGGGGAGCAGCGGGTGGACAGGTCTGCTGCTCCCGGTGGGTCGCTCCCTGGCTGGGGTCCAACTCGTGCTGCAGACAGCTTCACAGAGCTGAGACTTAGCCCTCTGCGCCAGCAGCGATGCCCCTCCCCACACCTCTGACCTGTACCCCAGTTCTTGCATGCATAAATAACTTAAAGAAATGCAGGCCCAGAGTCTGGGCTGGGCTGGAGCCCCACTGCTCCCCGGCACTCTGCTGGTGTTGGGACCTCATGGCCACTGGTCCCCCCTGCCAGGATGTTGCTTTTCAGCTGGGCTCACCCAGCAAGTGGGCTCCAGCCTCTGTCAGAGCAGGAGGGGTCCCATGGCCCTGGACGCCTGCTGACCAGCGCATTCGCACCGCTAGGCTGACCCCTTGGTAGGAAGTCGGGGCGTAAATGCACTTTCATGTCTACAGGGTTCCGGGTGGGTTAGCGCTGGCAGCTGCATAGGCCAGATGTGACGGGATGACATACAAGGGAGAGTCTGGTCAGTGGTCACGGGACCCCAGGCCAGTCCTGCCTCATGGCGGTCCCTGGTCTGACATGAAGCAGGATTCCTATCGGGACTAAGTTACACACCAGGAACCAAACAAAAGGTTGTTACTGAGGGCCAGGCTGCTCTCTCAGGTCACCTTGCTTCAGAGAGGCCTGGTGCCCCTCCATGCAGGTTGTGGTGCCCGGGAGACTCCCCTGTGCTGGCTCTTCTGGAGTGGCAGGGCCTGTCACACGCCCCAGGTCAGGGTGGTGGTGGCCCCATGGGCCCTGCCCGAGGGGCCAGTTCTCCCGCAGCCTCCGCGCTTCCAGATGGGAGAGGGTCAGGGACAGCAGACAGCGAGAAAAGGGCCAGCTGCGCCTTACCACACACCCCCAGGTCGAATCCGTGGCCACCTTCAACCCCACCTGAAAATGCCTCTGGAGCTCACACCCTGCCGGGCAACACCAGAGCCTCAGGCCACTCTCCCCACTGGCCGCCCTCTACCTGCCATCCAAGGGGGCCACCCAGCGGGTCCTTTCAGACCAACTCCTGCCCAGGGCACCAGGGGGCCCTGACGGGCCCAGCCGGACTGGCACCTGCTCCCCTCCCCCGCTGCCTCGTTGTTGGCAGAGGCCCAGGGACGCATTTCTGGTCATTGAAGCGCGGCTATTATCTCTGGGGAGCTTCTGGGAAAGGGGTTTTATGGGCTTTTGTTGTTTGTTTTCATGGGAAATCATCTACTTGGGTGGCGCTGTTGGTAATGATGCTCTTTCACGCAGTTAAATGTCCCTGGGTCACTGACGTGGGTCTCGCACCCAAGTGAGAACAAGAATAGGTTCAAAACAACTCTGCGGTGACGACACTGTGTAGGACTTGGGGGACCTTTCAGGTGTGTCACTCACCCCCACCTCCAGAGCGCCACAGTCCTGTCCCCTAGCCGCTGGGCCACCCCCACTTTGTTCCTGCGCCCTTCTAGTAGCCTCAACTCTGTGATTATATACTGGGGTTGGTTTGGGTTTAGTTTGGGGGCTCCTTCTGGTTTTCTGGGGACCCTGTTGGACGGATCACTGAGCAAAAACTAACTTGCGACGCTGGTGTGCCCGGAAGGGAAGGGGACAGCCAAGCTGTCGCCTGCCACCCCCGCAACCTGCCCCTCCTGAGAACCCTCTTCCCCCCTGTGGGCACCCTTCCCCTCCAGCCGGGTTTCTGGCCTAGGATTCTGGTAGGTCAGGCACTGGGGTGCCCGCCAAGATGGGATCGGGTCAGAATGAAAGCTCGGGCGAGGGGCACCGGGCTGCGGTGCCGTGTGGCGGCGGCGGCGGTCAGAGGGGCCTCCGGCCAGGTCCCCTGCTCTCTGCCCAGAGGAGACCGAGGAGGGCCCTAGCCCGTCCCCAGTGACTCCAGCTGGACAGGGCGGCTGGGGCTGCTTTCAGCAGTGGCGGAAGCCGGGCTTCGAGCGGCCCCGGGG